TATAGCAACTGTGTGTGTCTATCCCTTATGGACCTATAGGTGTATTGAGCTCAAACACAGTGAGGCGTACCTCACTACTGTAACTTTATGGCACCTATATAGGCATTATGCCCACAACTGTACTATATGTAGACGTACTAAGATTCTCAAGGGTAAAATGCTATAATGGAACAATTAAATGAATAAATAAAACAGTTATGCCTTAATCATGTGGTTAGATAGCATTTCATATTAAATTCTAGGTTACAGGTACCCTCACTGCACTGCTCGCTGAAGCGAGCTGCGACAGCTAGGAAAACCAGAGGAAGAGTGACTGTCAGGGGCTTCTCGCTAGGTTGCTCGCTATAGCGAGTTGCACCAGCAAGCAATTCCAGAGAGAGTTTTCTCACGGATTTGCTCGTTGAGCTCCTCGCTACAGCGAGCGGAGTCTGAAATACTAGGGTTCTTACGAAGGTTGAAACCCATGGTACTAGTCTCAATGCATCAAATTACTCTTTCTAAAGTCCATAGATCATGCATGCAATGCCAGGTTATACAATCTTGAATGACAAAGAACAAAATACATGGTTCAATGCTTACTATCTACTCTACTCATCCTCACCCGTTATTTCCATGTTCACCTTTTCACACAATTGATCTATGCAGAACCAGAGTTATACAATTTCCTTTTTAGACATAATCATCGAATTCCATAACAGAGTACATAGAGTAGTTCTCTTACTTAGCTTCTTTGGGGCTTCAATCTTGTTTGGTCCTTGGCTTAAGCAATAGAGGATCACCCTCTTCACAAGTTGTTGGTCCTAACTTTACCCCTAGAGTTATTGCTCTCCTTTCCAATTACTGAGTTGTTGGTTTATGTCCTTCCCCAAGGTTCCTTCATCAATGATTTCCACAGCTGCAAGTCACGTTCTCAACTACTCTAAGTTCATCTATTCCTCACTTCCATCATCATGCAAGGGAATGGCTTTCAAGATGAGGGCTGCAGCGTTGCTGGTTTCGGCCAAGTGATGAGAAGGTGGGAAGGGTTACATGCAATGGCTGTTGAGGAAGGAGTACGTGGGTTTATAGAGAAGGAAGAAAAATGTGGGAAGCTAGATACAGAGGGTAGGTTTTATGCTTTTAAAAAAGGGAAATATAAGAATCATGTTGCAGGAATGGCACTGTTCATTCCTGCAACAAGGATCCGCTTCCGTATTTTAAGGATACGGCGTCGTATCCTGATTTTAGTCTGATTTTTTTTTTAAGCAGGGGACCCACACTTGATTTGTGTGTGCAGGAAAGTGCTCTAGTCATGTCACATGACAAAAAGCGAACCCTTTAAAAAAAGGGAAAAGTGTTTATCTTTTTAAATGACATAACTTATATCTTTTCATTTTCACAAAGAAGTGGGACCCACACCTTTATTTTTTTTGTCAACTCTCTCTCCTTTTTTATCTATCTCTTACTCTCTTAAAATGATACAACTTTACATCCTTTAAAATAACACACATTTTTCCCTTAAAAAAAATGGGTCTTATAAAACTGGTGTAAGAATATCCTACCTATATATATATATATATATATATATATATATATATATATATATATATTATTCGCATTCTAGAAATCCCATGATTGAAAATAAGAAAAGAGATGGAAAACTGCCATCAAATGCCTTAATGAAATTGACCTAACACAAGGCAACTTGTAACAACTAACAACCCCCTTTTGTCAATTGTAGATATTTTAAAGAAGAACGTTAGCTTACGTCAATTTGAATGACTTATAAATATATATTTTTCTAGGTAGAGTAGGCAACAAAAGAAAAGTAGTAAAGTTAATTTTAGAGAAGAAAACTCTAATATTTTCATATTTTTAGTTGATCATAAAAATAAAGAAATATATAAGAAAAAACATAACATAACTCCACCTATGTGTGCTTGCATGTATGGTCAGTCTCAAGCTAGGATAAAGGAGGAGGGTTGGTGTCAGGTGTGGCGAGCCGGCCATAAAAAACAGTTATGTTTATGAGATGAACCCTTAATTGAGATAAAGGTGTTGTTGATGTTGATATTGTATATAAGAAAAAACATGGCAACAGATTTGCCTTTGAATCCCCTTACTTCAGAAACAGATATCATAAATTAAGGAAACAAATCAAGCTAGAGAGATTTTAGGAAATAGATTCCTTAAACTATTTATTAAAATTTTGACCCAACAAAATACGGAAATTACTTAACTATTTATTAAAAGATTTCAGAATCTGCTGAGCACCAAGCTTGGCAAGACAGCAAGGCAGTTAGCACTTGAGAAGGATTCCATTTAATGTAAGTTGGTGAGAGTGAGCATGCTAGGAATGAATATATGGATGCTAGAGTTAGGAACTGAGAATATATTATGCATGTGAGTTGTTATTAGTTACAAAGCTTAAATTCTAGGAAGCAGTTGAATATTCTACAAGTCACTATATATAACTTGTAACCCTTAATTTAATTCCAAGGTGTGCGAAACTGACAGTATAAACTAGACATCAAGTGAGCAATAATTTACAAGAGAATGGTACACTAAATTGCATACCTCAAAGGCTCAAACAGTTAACTGGCTCAATGAGATTGGTAACAATTTGAACCACAGGTTTTCCAAAACAAAAGAATCAACTTTTGACATACTGTTAATTTTGGTTTCACACCTTCTCACAATAATGGTAATGATGATAATTTTATCCTTGCCTGGGAATGTGATGGGAACCTGGTACTGAATTAATGAGAACAGAATTAAAAACAGCAACAAAAAATGGAGAACAATTCAGAAGACACATTGTATTGATACAAGTAGCTGAATTTCAAATAGCATTGAGTCATTCGAGGGGACTCACTCTGCCCCAGCACCTTGCTGAATCCCAAAATTATCCAAATACATACATGACAGTTTCCCCTTTCTACTCCTTACCTTCATATTTCTCTTCACCCAACAAGTTTTCCCTCCACTTTGCTACTCCTGCTGCCAGTTGGACCGTCTAGAATTTGCTGAGTAACTGCCTCATCAGTTGGCAATCCACTGTTCCCTTCCCCCCACCCCCCCCCCCCCCCCCCCCCCCCTAGTTTATACCCTCTTTATAATAGTCATATCAGAATGTTTCTCAAATTTATCTGATGTATCACACTCACAACAGGAACAGTTGAATTTATTCATAAAAGAGATAAGATCATAAGAACTTCCATTTCAAAATATGCCATCAATAGTATTACAAAGGAAGAATTCACCAGTATCATACAGAAGCCAAATTTGGAAATTCAGCTTCAAGAATTATAAATTATAATTAAGCCCAGTCACCAATTGCACCATATTCTCTGCTAGCAAGCAAATCTTATGGAGTCGATCAATCTGAGAAATCTTTTGCTTGACATTGAAACATCTTTTCATTCATTCTTCTATGAGACAAAGATTAATTGCAAGCTGCTAGTAAGCACTAAGCAGATTACAGAAACAACCTTAATCTTTTTTCTTTTCTTTTTTCCATACATGCCTTTAAGATTACATATCTACACAACTTGGACCAGTGTTTCACAAGGATGGCACGCACAAATAGAGAAATGATATCTCGTTGGTATGAACTCAGTTGAGGAATGAAAAATGAGGTTAAGTCACTACACACTCCCACACCTCATTCTTTCTCCGACAACAATATGTGGAAAACAAGTGCAACTCTAAAAGGTCAACATTCCTGAGAGGCATGGCAGGTTGCAATTACACCAGTGAACCATGCTATCATTATCATAACATAGGCAATACAATTTACATGATAACAATCATCCAAACACATGGAAATAGAGCCTGAAGCTCAACCTTTTGTGCGTGAGAATTTGCATCAACAGAAAAAATACTGAGAAAAAGAAAGTTGGGAGATTCAAACTCATCAACTAGGAGAAAAAACACAGATTTCTACCATTGGAAACCACAAAGCATTTTCAATAGCAATTTTTCCTAGCTCTTATTATAAGGGTATTAGCTTAGCAGTTATATGAAAAGTTTATAAATATTGAAAAACTGCACTTGATTTGGACACCCTCAACCCTTTACTTCCACAATTCAACTAGGTTCTAACATGTCAATTTTTTCTCACTTAAAACATCATATAGATTCCATAAAACACACGATTCAACTAAATTTAAATGATCTAAGAACAAAGTTACAGGATAAGCAGCAGCTAAGAACATGTCATTTTTCCTAGCTCTTATTATAAGGGTATTAGCTTAGCAGTTATATGAAAAGTTTATAAATATTGAAAAACTGCACTTGATTTGGACACCCTCAACCCTTTACTTCCACAATTCAACTAGGTTCTAACATGTCAATTTTTTCTCACTTAAAACATCATATAGATTCCATAAAACACACGATTCAACTAAATTTAAATGATCTAAGAACAAAGTTACAGGATAAGCAGCAGCTAAGAACATGTCATTTTTCCTAGCTCTTATTATAAGGGTATTAGCTTAGCAGTTATATGAAAAGTTTATAAATATTGAAAAACTGCACTTGATTTGGACACCCTCAACCCTTTACTTCCACAATTCAACTAGGTTCTAACATGTCAATTTTTTCTCACTTAAAACATCATATAGATTCCATAAAACACACGATTCAACTAAATTTAAATGATCTAAAAACAAAGTTACAGGATAAGCAACAGCTAAGACAGAGCAGGCAAAAGGGAGGAGGGGGAGGGAATTTAGAAATTGATTAAAAGCTTTATACATACCCTGATACACACAAACAAGCAAGTTGACAATAACAATTTGATTATACCATATCAAGATAATTAGCAAGCAGGAGCTAGCAAAAGTAACTCACATTACCATGAAACAGGTTCAGAATAAAAACAGTCCAGATTCCCATAAATTTCCTATTTTTTCTATCTATCTATCAATTACTGTGGATCAATGAGATTCTTTTCTGTTTATATATCAGGTTATGTATTCCAAAAATCTACTCATAATGCAGAAGGCCAGTATGGAGTCTAAACTTACCAAATACCCGTCTCTTATCATATGTTTTGATACTTGGTAAGTAAATGTAATATTTAGTTAGACATAAGAAACTGATCTTTACTCTATCATCATGCTACCAATAGTCCCCACAGGAACAAGTTCCTTCACTAAAATGGTGAAAGCGATTTGCATCCCGAACAACTATGGACCTTCTCATAATAGCTGAAACCATTTTACTAAATGTGTGACAATCACCGCAGATCCTCAGATTTTTGGAGATCCTAATGGGGTCACCCTTGGAGATGGCAATTAGGCCAAATGCAATAGCCAACTTTTCACTATGTGTGTACAACATTTTTCGCTTAATTTCATCATCGACATCTTGCAACACAAAATCTGTATCAGGCACATAACCAGCCATCTCCAACTTCTTAATTAAACTCATCAACATCTCATAGATCTCCTTTGATTTAGGATGGGATCTATCCCCAACACTAAACTGATAGGTTTTGTTATCCACTTCAATCCATGTCCATCCAGGAACTTTCTTCAGCTTCCTTTGGGTCATCATATCCCTGAATTTTGCCACTTCTTCCCACTTACCAGCTTTTGCATAAATATTAGATAATAAAACATAGTGCCCTGGATTTTGTGGCTGTAGCTCAAGTAGATAATTGGCTGCCTTTTCTGCCAACTCCATGTTCCCATGAATTCTACATGCCCCAAGCAAAGCACTCCACAGCCTCTCATCTTTTTCAATAGTCATGGCCTCAATCAGTTTAAAGGCCTCATCTAACCTCCCAGCACGGCCCAGAAGATCAACCATACAGGTATAATGTTTGACATCAGGTCTAACAGCATGCTCTTCCCACATCAAATTAAAAAAGTGAAGACCCTCTTCAATCAGCCCTGCATGACTACAAGCATATAAGAGGGAGACAAAGGTGATCCTATTGGGCGATATTGCACATCTCAACATCATATGAAATAAATCAAGGGCTTCCTTCCCCCTCCCATGATACCCATAGGCAGCAATCATGGCACTCCATGAAATAACATTTTTTTCTTTCATCCTATCAAAAACCTCTCTTGCAGACTCAACACTACCACACTTAGCATACATGTCAATCATTGCAGTCCCCAATATCACATCCAAAGAGAAACCATTCCTAAAAATATATTCATTAATAAACGCAGCCCTGTGCATAGCCCCCAATTTGGCACAGGCATTGACAACAGTCACCATAGCAACCTTGTCAGGAACAAAACCTTCTTCCCTCATCCGATCAAACAAGACCAATGACTCATAGGCATTGCAATCAGCATAAGCACCAATCATCACTGTCCAAGTCACAAGGTCCTTACTTCGCATTCTCTCAAACAGCCGCCGAGCATCCTCAATGACCATGCACTTGGCATACATGTCAACTAGGGAGGCACAAACAAAATGATCCAAATGCAACCCATGTTTCAAGATCACATCATGAATCACTTGACCCATTTGAAGGTCCTTTCTGTCTCTGCAAGTTCTTATCACGAAGGGCAAAGTGTAGTTATCAGGTGTAACACCACATCTGAGAACCTCCCTAAAGGTAGCATAGCAACTGGTATGGTCACCTACCTTGGCAAACCCACCAACCATGACACTCCAAGTTGTGGGGTCTCTCATTGTCATTCCATCAAACAGATAATAAGCATCATCCATGGCCTTGTGTTGGACATACGTGTAAAGGAGCTTATTAGCAACAACGAGATCTTGGAATGTTCCGTTGACCACCACATGAGCATGAACTTGTCTGATATGAAAAACGTTTCTGCACCTAAATATCAGACCAATACAAGACTCTGCCCCCATTCAGTAGATGATGTTAGTTTTAAGGTTTTTTCCTAAGTAAACAAAAACATCACTAACTACAACGATTGGAAGTGACAGTGTCAACGGAACTTCGTAATTTGTTAACTAGTGACGAAATGTCCAAACACAAAAATGTAACCTGAGTGGATACGATACACGGCAAAAAAATTTAAATAATGCTTTTTAATTAAATATTTACGTATTTATTACAGTTTTGAGAATAATTACATATTTATTGCATAATGTGACACCCTTTTTGAACGTCACATGTGACGCCCCATTGAGGCGTCTAACCCTAAGAGAAGACGCCCAAAAGGGGCGTCTCGTGTGTGCTCTGTATATATCTTTTTTTTACCATTTCACTTCTCACTATTTCACCTCTCTCTAACCACGGTTTGTGCTCCGGACCGAACGCGAAGATTTTCGTAGCGAAGCTCTGCCAACTTAGGTAAGTTCGTAATACCTGCTATGTATACGTTTAAATTACAGTGCTACCTTGCGAACATGTTAGGATTTATCGTATATTAGAGACTTAGAACATTAGGATAGTAACTTAGAAATTTTGTACCATGCTATGAATGTTGTAATGATATAGTAATTTTTTTGTTACGTAGTTATGATTATTAATACATATTTATGATGTTATTTTGTGATAGTGATTTAGAAAATAGTGATAATGACTTCGTAAATTTTGTATGATGTTATTAATGCGAGAGTGTATTGATAATTTTGTAGTCAGTTAGGTGTGATGATTAATATATATTTATTAAGTTATTAGTGACTTAGGGTTAAGTATTATGTCAGTATGATTTAATTTGTATCCGATGTTTTATTATAATTTAATTACAAATAAATTACTATACTACGTATTAATAATATTTCATTAATGTCGATTCTAGTAAAAACGTAGGGTTTATGCTTAATTTTGTTGATAATAAATTAGGGCATTTCTTAATTAATTAGTACATAAAATGCGTTGTTACATGTGATTAATTTCATTGTTGTTTTATATTATGGTGAGTTTAGGGTCATGGCTGATTCATCATCATCTTCGGGTTTTGCATCGGATGCAGAGCCTACTGATCCTAGCATTTACATCATACCTGGGCCTTACAGATGGGACGTCCTTCATAAGAGGACGCAGCGTGCCCATATTTCACAACGAGTATGGAATACGGAGCATGTGAGGAGACTGAAGACCAGGCGTGGGAAACCACAGCGGGGCCACCTACCTGGGCTATTCCAAAGGTGGTCACAGACTACCTCACACAGGCTGGATTTATCCATGTTGCCCGGGTGCGACATATCCAGGTATGCAATTTACGACGTATTGTATTTATGTAATTATTCAATACCATTCGTTAACACGTGATAATTGTATAATTTATTTCAGATCGATGCCCCATTAATTAGTGTTCTGGTCTCGAGGTGGAGACCAGAGACACATACATTCCACATGACACAATGGTTCATGGTAGACTAGGATTTGAGACGCACCCATCTCACCACCTTTATCTCCATCTGAAGCACTAGCATCCTCCGCCAGAAGACGTTCTTCCATTGCGATGTTTTCATCATCGTCGTCGTCTTCGTCGTGCATTTCCCAAGTTGGATCTTTTTCATCTCCCCCAGAAAAGTTACCAACTGGAGACGCATGAGGTGCAAACGTTGATGGAAGACGGGGAGAATTTAAATCAACTGACATCACTGGTAATGGAACATTCTCCGCTGTGGCGATGTCGACATACAACTCCAGAAAATCTGTCCTTGACTGGTTGAAAAATTCTTCCATTGTCATCTCAACGTCTTCATCGTCAACCACTTGCAAACTAATGTATTTATCACATTGCCATAACCTTGTCGTGATCTGAGTGATACATTGGTTGTCTTGAAGACTTAACTTCTGTCGAATTCTCTGATGCAGTTCGCCAATGGTTGCGTTGCGTTGGATACGTGTCGGCCTTTTTTCACCTTCAAACATGACACCTCGTCGACCTTCTACCTTCCTTCCATTGTAATATAACACAACACGAACAGAATTAGGATTTGAACTCATTCTTAAATAGAATAAGAAATAATATTCAAATACTAAATTAAAGATGAAGGATTATGTATGTATGATGTTAGGAATTTTGGTAGAGAAGAGATATAAGATGAGAGAAGAGGTGTGAAGAGTTTGTAAGAGTGGAAGGGGAATATATAGGGTGCACAATGTGACGCCCTTTTTGGACGTCACCCATTAGGGTGAGACGCCCCAATGGGGCGTCACATTATGCAGTAGATCCGTAATTATTTTTAAAACTGTAATAAATGCGTAATTATTTAATTAAAAGCATTAAATTAATTTTTTTGCCGATACACGACACAACACTCTGACTAATATGTTAATTTTAAAAATATTAAATTTTAACAAATTAAGATATATTTTGATATTAAATAATATTTTTAATTTATACAGTGAATATTATATTTAATATTTAATAATACCCATTGTTAGCTTTGAATCATGTATATTTTAATAGTTTAGATTCTTATTTATTTGGGCTAAATGAAACATGATATATAGGTATTTGGGCCAAAAAGAAAAACAATATGGCCCAATTTGAAAATAGGTAAATGAAATGAAGTCAATGTAATTTTACTTATAAATTTCATTACTCAATGCTTGCAGATGTTAAAAAGAAGCATGTGACCAAATTAGTAAAAGAAAGGGACAAATTTGGACCATTGGATGAACAAAAAGATGGACGGCTACTAACTTTTGGATTTTTTTTAGTTATTAGTTATTTTGTGGGTTGTAAAAAAGAGAGACCAGATTGAGATTTTGTAAAATTGTGTGATTTCTCTCCAAGTTCTTGACATTGAAGAGCATTGACAAACATCTTCAAGGGAGAAAGCAAAGATCTTCATGCAAGCTGATTTCTCTACCATTTCCTAGCTATAGTTTAGGAATTTTGTTTGCTCAACTAATGGTCTGTAATTTTTTACTTTGAGTTCTCTTTACTGGATATTTGGTACTGCATGTTGCTTTTAGTTCAGATTTTGCAATTTCCATTTGTTAATATGAGTTTTTAAATTCTTTTTCTAGGATTTAAGATGATTGAATGATTACCTTATTTTGTTGAACATTGTGCTCTTTTCTTTAGTCTCGTTTGATTAGCAATTTTTCAATTTTAATTTCAAGAAAACCATGGGAATGGATCTTAGAATATTTTTAGCACAATTGTGATTGGAAAATCAGGTTATTTTCTTTTGCTAATTAAACTCTTGAGGTTAGGGATAACCCAAGGAGGTTTTTGAAATAATTCTTGAAGATTCAAAAGACCTTGGGAAAGGATCCTTTTGAAGAACATATATGTAACTAGGAAGTCCCAGCTAAAATAGCCAATAGTAAGTCAAATTCTGATATTAAAGTGTCATAACAGTGGTAAAACGCAGGGATGCAAATTACTTTGGGAAAATCCATGATTCAAGAATTCCAGAATTTTATAATTGTTGTTTTTAGTTGAATAAATATTTTAGTTATTTTTGTTTAATACAAATCTGATAAAAACTATGATTCATTTAGTTCTCAGTTTAAAAGATTGGTCACTTAGAGAGTACATGACAATCTCCCCGGAATCATTTTTTTTTTAATTTTTGTTCCCGAGAACAAAAAACTCGTTTGGTAAATCGGTATATTTTTTTATTCCCGGGATGAACCAGTTTAATTTTTGTGTTGGGGAACAAAAAAGGAATCAAACTTTTTTTGCTTTTTTGTTCCTCCGGGGACAAAATGAGAAACACTTGTCTCGCTCAATTACTCTCCACCTCTACCATCATCACCGCCACCACTATCATCCTGACACAACCACCGCCACCATCGTCACTGTCGTCGTCGTACAATCAGTGCCATCGTCACCACCACTACCACGATGCCACCGCTGCCGCCGCCGCCACCAACCACTGCCACCACTCCACCACCATCGTCACCACTACCACCACCACTACGCCACCGCCACCAACCATCACAACCATCATCGCAGCCACTGCCGCTACCACTCCACCACCATCGCCACCACAACCACCACCATCACCATGCCGCCATCACCACCATCGCCACCACTACCACCATCGCCACCACTACCACCTCCGCCACCATCACCACCATTGTCACAGGCACTACTGACAGTACCTCCACCATTATGCCATCACCATCGCCACCATTACCACCATGCCGTCGCCGCCGCCACCATATAGAAAGAAAAGTGATGATTCAAATTTTTTATGTTTAACAGGACTTATTTTTTATTATATTATTTGTTGTGTTATCAAACACAATTCACATTCTCGGAATAAAAATAGATTATGTTATCAAACACATATTTTTTCTCAGAAACTTTTCCAAGACACAGAAATAGAAAAGAATTGTTTCTTTTCATAAATAGTGCCACAGAATAGAATGATTGTCATGCACACCCTTACAGTTCAAAAAATAAGAATAAAAATTAAAAAAAAACTAAAACACTGTTCCTAGAGAACGATCATAATCTTCGGATTTTACTACCCAACACAATGGCATCGTTGCCGGGGATCAAATCCGGGTCACTCGCGTGTCAGGCGAGAATACTTACCACTATACTACAACGAATTCTTGCAAAGAAACATAAGATATCATAAACAATTTTTATTATACTCAATAAAATGGTAATCGTAATCTGACGAATCTAATATTTGGAACTAAAAATGCAATGCAACGCAACTTTTAAATCTTTTTTTGAGTCTTTGCAATGCGTGTTGGAGTGTCGGGCAAGACAGTTAAGTTTTTTGAAGTGTCGGTGCATCGTAGTCATCCACAAAGGGGTGTGCATGGAGCAGTTCATAACTGGTTTTGACTAAAATCGAACTGAATTGGTTTTAAATGGTTTGATTTTCAATCCAAACCGATTTTTTTAAAAAAAAAAAATTGATTTTTATTTATACAAACCGGTTCCAAAATCGGTTTATGGTTCAAAATCAATCAAAACTGATTTTAAATCAAAACTGATTTTAAATCAAAACCAGTTTTGAACCATAAACCGATTATCAAGTTCAAAATCGATTTTACAACAACTTCAAAATCGATTTTTGATGAGTTGTGTTATTTTTTTAAAATAAAATAAAAAAAAACCTTTATTATTTATCTATTTATTTTTTGTCAAAAATATCTAGGCTATTTTGATTAAACATGAAAAGGCCCACTATTAATGCCATCAATCATGGATTCATCCATATGGCAATGATGCTCGCAATCATCGAAATTCTTTGTTTTTACCATAAACATGCTCACAATCAGCAGAAACATACAAGATACAACTACATTATTGATAATTTTAGTAGAAACTAGACCCATCATATGAAAGACAATATTTAAGTTTTCTAAACATAAAATGAAATTTTCTATTCCAACTGACATTTTCTCATAAAATATCAACGGAAAAAAAAGGGTAAATATAATAAACCCAATGCAATTCAATTTAAATTAAAACTCTGGAATTCTTCTTGTCATCCAATTCAAACTAATCAAGGGACATAACCTATGAACTGAAACATAATATTGCAATTAGTTTTCATCACAGCTTACATTGATGTAGCTACTTTTCAAACAGTCCAACAAAATAGAAGCTTGCCCAACAGAAACGGGTTTCCACTTTTTCCAATTCCCATCACATATGCACATAAAAAATACACAATGGTCAAGATTTGGTGAATGAGTCTTGCATGACCAATAGGGCCATAGTTGAGTACTATCTGCCTAAACATTTCTCTGGAGGACTAGAAACCTTTGAGATGATTTCCTTGTTCATTTATGGATCCTCCACATTGATTGACCCTTTTAATGTTGCAGCCCTTAGGTGTGCAGCAGAATTTCTTGAAATGACTGAAGATTACTGTTCAGGAAACCTTTGTGAACGGTTTGATCTTTATCTGAATCAAGTAGTCTTGCAAAGTTGGGATGACACCTTTATTGCACTTCAAAGGTGTCAGATGCTGCTTCCTTGGACTGAAGATTTGTTGATAGTAAGTCGCTGCATTGAGTCTCTTGCCTTTATAACTTCACCAAAATCATCCCACTCTGATGTATTTTCATAATAGGGTAACATTTGTTGAAGGGGGAACAAATCCATCAATAAAAATGTCCCGGTACCCTCCACCTTTTGGACCAGCCACTGCAATAGCAAATCAATTCAATTATGGAAAAAATTGTAAAAAATAATAAAACATAAAAACTTGTCCAAAAAATTTCAAGAGATGCATAATAATAGACAAATATATAAAATCATTAATGTAATATCATCTAACAGCTTAAGTTTTTGAGTTGAATTGGTTGCATTGTTCATCTTTCAAGCCCAATGGACTCTCGTGTGAGGAGCGTCTTAAGATATATAAAATCATTAATGTAACCTCACCTAACAACTTAAGCCTTTTGAGTTGAATTGGTTCTTTACAAAATTCATATACCTTATATGTTCATTGAAGGTAAATTATGACATGATTATATAAAACAAATTAAATTGTAATATCACCTTAGCATGTTTATAAAAAGATGATAAATGTTTCAAAGAGGTTGAGTCTCACAATTTGATTTTGTTTATACTTTGAAATGGTTGTTTTGTAACAAGAGGCATCAGGTTAAGTTATTTATTCTCAGGTGCACTACATTGAACATTTATTAATTAGTGGTTTAATCATTTATTAACTGCAGAATTGTTGCTAAGATTTGGCTTGCACATGAGTGACTGATCCTTGAACCTGCACATGAAATTCCAAAAATTAAACCTAAAATAAATGTTAACATATTAAAACAAAGAACAAATTTATAATGGGAAATTGTATCTCAGCAATTTCAAAATCGGGTAGTTTTGGGTTTTAGAAAAATAAAATAAGACATTTTAAAAATTTTACTTTTCTCTCCTATAATGAATCTAAATACCCTGTATTTTTTCTCAAATTCCAAAATATTGTTGTTTGAAATTTAATTTCTCCAAAAAAAATTAATTTAAATATAGTGTCCATATAAAACATTTTTTCCTATATTATTAGGCTTTAATATTTCTAAAGTGAATGTAGATAAGTAATCTACATTTGCTCCCAAAACGACGTTATTTTGGGTTAAAAAATTAAAAAATTATAATGAAAAAGACTATTATAACCCTAAAATAAATTATAATTACAAAAATACCTTAATCTCCGTCTCAAAACGACGTCGTTTTGGACTTACTGTAGATAAGTTATCTATATTGACGGTAGAAAAAACGAACTCATATTATTATCATTCAATGATATATTATTAAAAAAGCATTTATCATTTTAAAGGATATAATTTTTTATCATTCTTTTTTCTTTTTTAAATAAGGGAAAACATTAAAAAAATTACACAATCTTGGGTTAGTAATTCCCATCATGTCTCTATTAAGGAGATCTCTACACTCATCAGGAGGCTCCTGAAGAATAATCATCTCCCTGTTGCCTAAGTAACTCTCTTGACAGGCTAAAACGTCAGCCACATTATTCCCCTCTCTAGAAGGAATGAGTCAATTTGATATCTCATTATCTATCCAACAAAGAATGGATCTTACTGATGAAAGTCGACAGGGGCTGGTGGATCTCACAGTTACCTTTCACGGGATTGAGAGCCACTTGAGAATCCCATCAATCCACACCTTGCGATATCCCTGCTCCCGGGCAACTTGAAGGCCATTAATTTAAAATTGTTGCTTGAGAAAATGATTAGGTGGCAAAATTGTTGCTTGTTAAAGCCAATTTGTCATTCTAAATGAAATTATTTTGTTTTGATAGTTTTTTATCTTCTATCTTCTTCATAATACTTTCTTTTCTCTCCTCCTGATTTTGTAAAGAAGAGAAAAAGTAAAAAAACCATCAAAATAAAATAATTTCACTTAAAATCATACAAAATTATGTAGTTTAAAATAACAAACTCTTCCCATTATTATTATATAATTTAATTTTTTTCCTACATCAAAACTAAACTCAATTAAAAAATTTAGTTGTATTTTTACTTCGGACTTTTTCTGCTAAACGAATTAATTCAGGCCTATATCACGTCTAATTCAATTTTGTCTCGATGACAAACCTTCAAGGAGAAGAAACCTATTGCCAAATATAAACCTATTGCATCTCAATCCTCTTCCTACTAAGCTATTCTTGAAAGTCAAATCATTAAATGATCGTGTAATATTATATTATTGCAAGTTAAAACTTAAAACTGAATTTTTTTTCTTTTTTCGTTGAGATGATTCCGAAACAGTCTCCTTTGCTAGATAAGCGAATATTCATATCATTACATGCGTGTTGCAAAAATATACAAATTACTTAAAATATAACAAGATCACATGATTGGATTTACAGGAATACTAACATGATTTTGGCATTTAAATTATACCACTCGACGATGCCTGCTTATAACCAATAATGAATGGTACAATTGTAATAAAAACAATGTTACAAAATACAAATTTTGATACCGTAAAGGACAAAGTGAGCATGCTAAGTCACCATCACCATCCTTAATTTACTTGGCTGAAGGGAGAACGAGGTATCAGTGATGGTTTCAACTCCTTTATATCAAAAGATTCAAATGAATTGTTCTCCCGGAATTCCCCAAGAAGGGTTTCCATTGGCAAGGATTTAAGAGACTCTATTGTCCCTTTACTTGGAACATCTGGCTCACATCTTATTGGGGTTGTCCCACTTGGTTCATAGTCCTGCAAGACATAAGAAACAAGCCACAGACATTTCATCAATTCAACATGGCCCGTTTAATAATAATATGCAAGATTTATCTTCTGAACATAAAAAGAGAGTAGAGTCAACCTACCCTATACTGTTGCTGAAAAATTTCACGTGCTTTTTCTTCGATGGAAGTAGCTTGGCCAGAATGATACTCTCTGAAAGTTTCAAGTGTATTTGCATGAGTTTTGACAACATTCAACACGCCAGATATGGATTCTCGCTCCTGCTCAGACATGTCTGCAAAAGATATCACAAGAAAAGGACCACGTAAATGCAACATAGAAAAAAAATCCATAAAATCCATAAAAAAAGAACCATAAAATGTCACTAGATAATTGTAAAACTCTCTTTTAAGCTAAGAAGGTTTTTACATGCATATTGAATCACATAATACGAGAGACTTTGAAGTAACAAAGATCAAAATCATGACAGCAATATTGTTAAACCAAAGGACCAAGATCTTGAACATACTCAAATGACTCACCATTAAGCTGATGAAGGACATCCTCGCTGTTCTTTGCCGCATCTTCCTCTGCTGCAACCCGAGCAGAATTGATTTCGATGTCGTGTTGCACATTGCTATCAGAAGCATTCCTGTACAAAAGTAATTAATATCAAATTAAACCTATCAATGAGATGATTAATGGTTAAGAAAACAGAATACTGCCATGAATAAGAAAAGCACAGCCTTGGCCAAAACCAAAACCAATTAAGCATAATGTAAAATAATTGAATGGATTTTCAGTAAAATAAATCCACTCAAGTCTCATCCCTATCTAATCTCATTTCCAGTAAACATGAGCAGCAGAGACAGTTATTTGAATCAATTCATCACACACCTGATAAGTGAAACTGCTGCAGAAATATGTTTGGCCCCAATCTCATTTACAGCCTCGTGTGTCCTCTTCGTGTGTTTGATAGCTGATTCGGCGGTATTGAAACTAAAGAGAAGGATTATAAGATTAAGTTAGAATAAAAGTAACAGGACCTTGATCAAGAAATCTAAAAGAAATAACATTCACCTTTGCTGCAGGAGTACCTCCATCTGACAATGTTTTGCAGCAGAAAAATCAGCAGTATCTCCGGCTTCTTTTTCTGCAAGCATGCAAAAGGCCTGCCATTTCCCTTTTGCTTGACTCACAATATCTCCCACTGATGACACATGTCCATCCAAAAACAACTTACTGGCAAGGCCATTTTCTCTAAGATCAACAAGCTTTGCATCTACCTACAAGTTCAACCACCGAATCATTTTCAGTATTAACTGATGGGCAGAAACACATGCATTACCCTGTCAACAACCATACCCCAGAGGGGAAAAAAAGAAAAGAAAAAACTATCAAAAGAAACACTCTAGACAGACCAGATCCATTTGACGACGAATGTGATTTGATACTAAACTAGTCATATCAGCAATAAGTTTCTCTGTATCAGATCTTGACTGCTCCTGCACGGAATGAGCTTTGCTAATAAGCATCAACAACCATAAACAATATTTTAAAAATAAAGAAATTAGTAATACATGTTGTCACCTCATAAGCTTTTTTAAACTCTCTGATGCTCTTAGTTTGTATTTCATCAGCCTCTGATGCAAAGTTTTCAAGCCTTTTTTCTTCTTCCAAAAGTTTTTCCACGAATTCATGAGTGTACTCCGATATATCCTTCAGTTGTTCAGCACTGACATTAAATCTCTTTTTACAAGACACAGACCAAAACAATTAGTAGATAAACAATAAAATGATAAATGAAATAATATTAAAAGTAAAAAAAGTGTAGGAAAATAAGCATAACAGTAAGAGAAAAACCATATTCGTGACTGAATGGCTAAAAATTAGAGATAGGCAGAAGGAAAATTAGAAGCACATACATGGCGTAGTTCCCTTGCAAAAAGTGCTAATTCAGCCTGCTGAGTTGAAAGAGAACTCTGAAGATCATCAAATACTGAACCTGCTTCGGTGGCCTCAGATGCAAGAAACTGATTCACCAGGAAAAAAGTAAATTTCTTTTAGTGTAGAGCAAATATGAAAAATACGTTAACAAAATATAAGTCAAATAAACATAAGTAATTTGAACATCTGCAGCATACTTCTTCAACTGAGTGACCATTGTAGGATATAAGAGACGATATTTCCTCAAAGGTAGCATCAGAGCCCGCCTTATGCAAACGCACAACATTTTGCACTGCCTCAATATGAGATATGTACAAAGCCCTCAGAGCTGTAACTTTGCTTTTCAAATCAACAACTGCCTACAGGCAACAAAAAGATGAATGAGTAATTTAAGGGAAAAAATATGCAAAACCGTGAACCAAAAGTGACTCTAAACAGAAAACAAAGATCAATACCAAAAGGAATCAACAAATTTAGTTGAACTGTAAAGAACCACTTCATCCCAAAACTTTAAGGTAATAGATGAAGGCTTTTTTTTTAATGATTTATATTATTCTCTAACACATTCCCTCACGCAAGAGCTCTTTAGGCTTGAAGCGTGAACATTGCACAGGCCCAATTTTTTTGGTTTTACTTTGTGCTTATTTAATTTCAAGTAGGAGGTGGTGATAATCGAACTCGTGACATTAAGGTCACTGAGGGCTCTAATACCATCTTATCAGAACTAAGAAAGGATGTGAACAACAAGAGCAACAGTGGCAATAGAGATTTATTTTACACACCTTATCATGAATGCCCAAAAATGAATGGCAGAGATTCTCCACGCATTCAAGGTGTTCGTTCTGTTGAGACAATGAAGTTGCCACCGTGTTACAAAGAGAACCAACTTGCTGGGCGAGCTCCATTTGAAAATTATTCACCACAGCTCTGTTGTCTGAGTTCAATTTATCTTCTCTACCTATAAAATATAATAACAGACACATTAATAAGTTGTTGGACATGTTATAAAAATATAAAACCATTCATTCGTGTGCTCCACAATTTGGGACAATTGATTCATGATATGGAATGAATCCGAACCTCTATGATCATTCTAGATAAAAATAAAAAAATTAAAAAGTTGAAATAGAGCACAATCAAACCAGTGGAAAAAATAAGATCCCTTACCAATTTTCGAAAACAATGAAGCATTATCCTGAAGAGCTTTCTCCAAATCAGCACGTAAAATGCATGCTTGATGAGTCAGATCATTTTCTATTGTACATAATTAACATTATGTTAACAAAGCAACAAAAAGAAATGATGATAAAAACATACAATCATACATACCTGCTTTTCTCTGCTCAGAAATGATAAAATCTTTCTCTTTCAAGGTATACCGACATTTCTTTAATTCTTCTTCTGTGTTGAAAAGCAATTTACTGGTCTCGTTCAAGTTTTGCTGTGTCATGTTTTTACTTCAGTTTTATAAATGTGCATACAGAACTTTGCAACTAAAAGAACAAATGCTCATATAACTCACCTCAGTGGCATCGAGTTTTGCGCTTAAATCTGAGCACTGCCGAACTTGGTCAGTGTATTTACTTTGCAAATCCTCAAGTTGCTGGTTGAAACATACAAAACAAGACTCTAGTTAAGCTTATCAGGGACAATGGCCAGGGAAAAATATCTTCTAAATATAATAGCCGTCAAGAAAAGAAACCTTATGATGAGTTTCTAGTGCAATCTCCATCAGCTCAATCTGATCTGCCATGGCCTGATCAGAAGAAAAGCATGCATCAATAGAAGGGCTCAAAGGCATGCTAGAAGTATGATTTTATGAAACAGGACATGGAAATCTAAAAACACAAAACCTAAGTATACCAACAAATTAACAAGAACAACGAAAATAAACATCTTAGGAACAAAGAAATATTTTCTCAGCGGCTGGAAGTTATGGCAGAAGTACTGTTCCTGATGAACATGTTGAATAATCGTGTTGCAACCAGAAAGGAAATAAAAATCAAAGATAGGAAAAAAAAACAACCTTCTTTTCATTCTCCTCCTGAATGTATCTGTCCTTTGGTATATAGATGCCATTTTTCTCTCGTGCAGCGTAAACCTCTTATCATAATCACAAAATTAATCAACCTCAGAAACCCATGCATCTCAAAGAGTACAAGAAAGCTAAAGACCCAAATAATTCTTACTTCAGTAACTACAAGATAAACAAAGCAACTAACCTCCCTTAAGGCGTTCAATTTCACCATAAAGATCCTTGATAAGTGTTGATTTCATCATTTTTTGGTTAACCTAGGAAATCAGGAAACAAATATGAGAAGAAATAAATGCTTGAGGCACAATAATGAATCAGATCAAAATAAAATGAGACAACATATGTTCTAATTAATAAAAAGGAAAAATGTCAACATATCTAGAACATCTTATCCTCGGCTGATTTGTGAGCACAGATGTGTTTGGTATACATTGATATGTACCAGGTACATTGCCCTTTTCTTTTCAAATTTTCGATTAAGTACATCTATGATTAGCTTAGCATCACAAATGAGCCAGTATTACACAAGCACAAGCTAGCCCACACAAAAAGTTAAGTTTCGCTTCTAATTTATTTAACTTGCTACTAACTGCTACAACTTCACCCGTCCAAATTACCTGTCGTGTTTACACATTTGGTTTTACTTGTATGATGTATTTCATGAAGATTTGTTGAAAATTTAGAGTTAGAATGTGTTGTAAATATTAGGTCTTTTATTATTATTAGTATTTGTTGTATTGGGCCAAGCCCATTAGGTCAAGAATTAGGGTTTTTAGTCTCTATAAATAGAGACCTCTTTGTATCATTTCAAATACACAATTCAATAATATTTCAAATACCCTTTTCTTTCAAGTTGGTATCAGAGCTCTCGATCTTGAGGGCTCTGCTTCCGCGCCTACGAAACCTTCTTTTCCCATCTCTCGCTGCCATCAGCCGCCACCGGAAAAATTTTCCGGGGACCTCTTGGACCAAGAGATCATTGTTTCTCTTTTTTTTCTCATCTTACTCAGTAGCAAGACACCAAAAAGAACGCGTTCATCGTTCATCTTCAAACAGAACCCATTTTTCAAAAACAAAGAACACTGTTCATCGCGATTGACCTTCTTTCTGGCGGCCGTTCAACTCCGATCAGCCCCAGATAGGTTCGCAACCCTTGGACACCCTTCGCCTGAAAAGCCCAGCCCGACCGGACGTCAGACGCGCCTCCACGCGCCGCTCCTTTCCCTGTGCGTGAATCCCACGCGCCGCCAGCTTCACCGGCGCGTGACAGCGCGTGACGGTGGTTATTGGCTGCGGACCGGTGCAGTCTTGATTGACTCTCCGAGCTCGTTCTGGATCTGTGCTCATCTCTTTGATCGGACATCGTTTGGTATTTATTTGTGATTTTTTGGCTTCTTGGAGCTTTTCTTTGACCATTTTCTGTGCAGTATGGCCTCTTCTCAAAGGAGTTCTTTTTCAAAATTTTATGATGGTACCTCTTCTAGACCTAAGAGAGATGATCGATGGTGTTCTTATTGTAAAAGAACAGGTCATATCAAGGATTTATGCTTTCGCCTTTATGGAAAGCAAACTGTCTTAGAAAAGATGGCAAGGATGCGTGGTCAAGCGCATTTTACTTCTCCTGAAATAACCCCTGCACCTAATGAGACCCAATCTGCATTTCGTCCAGATGAGTTGGAACGACTCCGAACCATTCTTGATTATCTGAGTAAGCCATCTGATACTAGTGCTTTGGCTATGACTGGTATGAGCTCCAAAACTCATTCTTTCATTTCTTCATGTAATGATTTTAAACATTCTTGGGTTGTTGATTCTGGTGCTACTGATCATATGGCTTGTTGTGCTGACTCCTTTATTTCTTATCATCCTACCATTGGAACTCATACAATATCCATAGCTGATGGCTCACATACATCAGTTGCGGGTTCTGGTGACATAAACTTACAGCAGTCCTTACATCTTAAGGATATTCTTCATGTTCCTAAACTTTCCACGAATCTTCTTTCTATTCACAAAATTACAAAAGATTTGAATTGTACTGTAACCTTCTTCCCTACCCATTGTGTTTTTCAGGATCTCGCCACGGGGAAGACGATTGGTAGTGCTAAAGAGCAAGGTGGGCTGTACTATCTGGTGTCACAATCTCCCGCAAATAAAGTAACAGATCACACCTTCATGTCTCATGGTCAATCAACTGCTGATTCTTTAATTTGGCTGCATCATAAGCGTTTGGGTCATCCTCCATTTAGTTTACTCAAATCTTTATTTCCGTCATTGTTTTTGTCTAAGTCTGTTGAGTCTTTTCATCATGATGTTTGTGAATTTGCTAAGCATCATCGTGTGTCTTTTCCTTCTAGTATTACTAAGAGTGTTGAACCTTTTGATCTTATTCATTCTGATGTTTGGGGTCCTTCTAAGGTCCCTCATTCTTTTGGAAATAAATGGTTTGTTTCTTTTATTGATGATTGCACTCGTGTAACTTGGGTTTACTTAATGCGTGAAAAGTCTGAGGTACCACAACTGTTCTTTCAATTTTATAAAATGATTGAGACTCAATTTTGTAAAAAAATCAAAAGACTAAGGACAGATAATGGTACTGAATATGTCAATCACTCTTTTTCCCAATTTATACAAAATCAAGGTATGATTCATGAACTTACTTGTGTAGACACCCCTCAACAAAATGGGGTTGCAGAAAGGAAAAAACGTCACCTTCTTGAAGTTGCTCGTGCCTTACTGTTTCAAACACATGTACCCAAATGCTATTGGGGAGATGCCATTCTTACTGCAGCATTCTTGATCAATCGTCTACCCACTCGGGTTCTCGATCATGCAAGTCCTATTCACTCCATGACTTCTTTTTTCCTTCTGTTCCAACTTTGCAAAGTCTTCCTCCTCGAGTGTTTGGGTGTGTTGTCTTTGTTCATATTCATAAACAGCATCGCAGTAAGTTGGATCCTAGAGCTCTTAAATGTGTCTTCCTTGGATATGCTCCTGATAAGAAGGGCTACAAGTGCTATCACCCTGGAAGTCGGAAATTTTTTGTTTCTATGGATGTTACATTTCAGGAATCTGAGTCCTTTTTCCAAGGTCCTCATCTTCAGGGGGAGAATAATTCACCAAAAGACTCATCACCTTCCTTCTTTGAATCTTCAGTGTCTACTCCTTCACCAGTGTCAGTGTCTCTTCCTCTTGTTCCTGTTCCTAATGTGTCTATGTTTGATCCTCCTGTGACTGATCCTCCTATGACTGATACATCAAGTACACCAGAGATACGGAAGATTGTAACACCTGAATTGGTATATCAAAGAAGGAAACAGCCCACATTGCCTCAACAGCAACCTCAATCATCTGAACCACTGGTAAGTCTTGAATCTCATATTTCTGATCATGATGTTAATACGTCTGATGACTTACCCATTACTACTGTTTCTGATGACTTACCCATTACTACTACTTCTGATGATTTACTCATTGCTTTAAGAAAAGGAAAAAGATCTTGTTCCAAGAAAACTTGTTCTTCCTGTCCCTCTTGTACTCAATACCCTATCTCCCATTTTGTTTCCTCTGCTAATCTTTCTGTGCAGCACAAAAGCTTTGTTTCAGCACTAGATTCTACTTCAATCCCAAAATCAGTACATGAAGCTTTGAAAGATGGGAATTGGGCTCAAGCCATGCAAGAGGAGATGAATGCGTTGGAGAAAAATAAAACATGGGAGGTTATTGATAGACCCAACGGAAAGAAAGCAGTAGGGTGCAGATGGGTTTATGCCCTGAAATATAATTCTGATGGCACTCTTGAGAGATACAAGGCTCGATTAGTCGCCAAAGGTTACATTCAAACCTATGGCATTGATTATGAAGAAACCTTTGCTCCAGTTGGAAAGATGAATACAGTGAGAATCTTGTTGTCCCTTGCTGCCCATTACAATTGGGATATAAATCAATTTGATGTGAAAAATGCTTTCCTCAATGGTGAGTTAGAAGAAGAAGTCTACATGGAAATCCCGCCTGGTTTTGATTCTGTGAAGGGGGAAAATAAAGTTTGTTGATTAAAAAAGGCCTTGTATGGATTGAAACAGTCACCTCGTGCTTGGTTTGGAAGGTTTACTAAGGTTATGATGACCTTAGGATATAGACAGAGTCAAGGAGATCACACTCTTTTCTTCAAGCACTCCCAAAATGGGAAGCTTACTGTGCTCCTTGTATATGTTGATGATATTATTATCACAGGTGATGATTTTGTGGAGAGACAGATTCTGCAGACACGACTTGCCTCTGAGTTCGAAGTCAAAGACCTTGGGAAACTGAGATATTTCCTAGGGATAGAAGTAGCTCATTCAAGCAAAGGAATTTTTATCAGTCAGAGGAAATATGTTTTGGATCTTCTCAAAGAAGCAGGGAAGCTCGGGTGTAAACCCTCTAATACTCCTATTGAGCAGAATCACAAGATAGGCTTTGAAGAGGAGAGTCCTCCAGTTGATAAAGGACAATATCAACGGCTAGTTGGAAAATTGATATATCTGGCTCATACTAGGCCAGACCTAGCTTATGCTGTTAGAGTTGTCAGTCAGTTTATGCACGATCCAAAGGAGAAACACATGCAGGCAGTAGAGAGAATTCTTCAGTATCTTAAAGTTACTCCTGGTAAAGGATTGTTATTCCAACGTGATGGTAATCTCTCTTTAGAAGTCTACACTGATGCTGATTATGCTGGATCCGTGACTGACCGTCGTTCTACCACTGGTTATTGCATGTTTCTTTGCGGTAACTTGATGACATGGAGAAGTAAGAAACAAGATGTGGTTGCCAGATCAAGTGCAGAAACTGAATTTCGAGCTATGGCTCAAGGCATTTGTGAGTTATTGTGGCTGAAAATTGTACTTGATGATCTCAAAATAAAATGTGAGGGACCTATGAAGCTGCTATGTGATAATAAGTCTGCTATTTGTATAGCTCATAATCCAGTTCAACATGATCGGACTAAACATATTGAGGTCGACCGCCATTTCATCAAAGAGAAACTTGATAGCGGGTTGATTACCACTTCATACATTCCCACTGGGCGTCAATTAGCTGATCTATTGACAAAGGGACTTCCTTCAGACAGATTTCAAGAACTTACTAGCAAGCTGGGAATGATAAATATCTATTCCTCAGCTTGAGGGGGAGTGTTGTAAATATTAGGTCTTTTATTATTATTAGTATTTGTTGTATTGGGCCAAGCCCATTAGGTCAAGAATTAGGGTTTTTAGTCTCTATAAATAGAGACCTCTTTGTATCATTTCAAATACACAATTCAATAATATTTCAAATACCCTTTTCTTTCAAGTGAATGCTATGGAAATCGTGTGTATCTTGTTATTTAATTACTTATTTATTTATGTTTTTATATCTTTAATTTTTATATGATATATCCTCATCTACCTATATCCTAGATTTTGAATTTTTGTCCTACCCCATACCCATACCTTAATAGGTTCGGATACACAATAAAAACAGCCCTAAATTATCAATAAACTTGAAACCTCAACAGATAACCGGGAGGTAGCTTCACGCCAAAAGGAATAAGATACTGTTACAGCTTTCATTGATCACCTACAAGCTGAGTAAAAGTACTCAACACATGTCACAACTCACTAGAAAAAATTGAATTGAAAGAGCCAATATTCATAAGATTTTAACAACATAAATAAGTTTTCATCTGAATAATGGATCAAGTAGAGTAATCAAATAATTCAAGTCAGTATCTTTGTTCAAGAAATTTATAAAATATTTTTATGCACTTGTACATTATAAATGTACCAAACAATTGTAATAAAAAAATACACGAATCACACAATTCTTGGAAAATTACTATTTCATGAACATTAGATTAAATATTTTGAAAACACCTCTAGAGATGCGTAGTTTAACAAAACCTATCAAGTCATTGAAACAGTAACAAACCTCGGGCTTATTTTTTATGTTCTTTGCCCTGTGTGCATAATCCAATGTGCTCAAGGTCTCCTCTAAGCAATGAACAGCAGGAGAAACGGTTGCTATGATGCATGTCTTTGTTCTTCCGCCAAGTGAATCACGCAGTAAACGTGTCAACTTGCTATCCCTAAATTCCAACATTTTTATGTAAGCAAACAAGAAAATGATGCATACAAACACGTACACAAGTATGCCCCCTAAACAAAGACTTAAAGAGAATGAAGCATAATCTGGCCACTAAACAGAGGGTGGAAAAACCTGTAAGGGACATGACCAAGGTGCTCCACAAGTGCACTGATCACTCGCCCTAAAGTAAGCAAACTTTTGTTAATTTCTCCAGCTTCTCTTGCACGACCCTTAAAAAGTATCACAAAAATCCAACCTAACAAGCTTAAATTTTTATTCTTCAGGCAATTCCAACAGTGTATACCAAATAAAATGTACGCTTAAAGTGTATTACCTCTCTAGCACCAGACCGAGAAATATTTTCTGAGCCTGCTAGATCCACTAAATTCAGTTTGCCACATTTTATAAGTTCTTCACCTTCAGGGGTTGCTTCCTTGATGTGAATTGTAATGGAAAACAAAGAATGTGACCGACTGAAAGGGGAAAACATAATTTCAATAAAAGATCAAAAATTGACAATCTGTCGAACAAAAGAAAAAAAAAAAATGAGAGAAGAGAAACAGAAAGCAACAATTACCTTGATTGCTTGTTCAATAAAGTTTCTGCAGTACGCCGTTTGGAAGACCCTCTCTCCAGAAGAGTAAAAATTTCACTTGCACATGTCACAATCTCTTCCTCCAAACCTCTTACAAGAACACCACCTTTACCATCCTCCATAAGAGGTAGCTGCTTCTTTTGCTTCTCCTCCAAAGCAACTTTAGAAATTTCCTCTGGGGCAAGCAAATCAGTAATCTCCTCGTTATACAATTCTAAGAAAGTGACTTTCACACTATACTCAGCATTCTGGTTCTCAAGAGTATCAAAAATCTGCTTAATAGCCCTTGGTATGACTCCTGCTTCTGTAGGCAACTGTCCATTGTGCCCACTCTGTAGAATAGACCAACAAACTTATTAAGCATGATCGATGAGTTTGCATGCTACACTGTCATGTCATTTCATGAATGACAAATAGATAGACACTAAATCGTACCCTTGTCCTTTTAGATTCACCTTCCATTGTGTATGTTTTCCCAGTACCAGTTTGACCATATGCAAATATAGTACAATTAAAGCCCTCTAGAACTTCATTTACTATTGGAATGATAGCTTGTTCATAAAGATCTTTTTGCTGGGCAGAAGGACCGAAAACCTGCACGATATTACCATGAATAAATTTCAGATCCTTAAAAAAAAAAAAAAATCCTCCAGCTTGTTATTATAACATTTCTCCTATTCTATTGGTTTATCATAAAATGTAAACCATTGTGCAATGCTTATATCTCTCCTATTCTGTTGGTTTTATCTTTAATAAGTTAAAGTTATATGCTCTGAAGAAAATATTATCATATTAAAGTTTTTTATTTAACTTGATTCACTTAGGATTTTATATTTAATTAGATTTTATCTAAGATTTTATATTTGATTATAACTGTTATTTATTTAATAATTTTATTGTCTCACTTATGTAATTCAAATTTTTCCGTAAATTCATAAAATATCAAAATTTCATTTCTTACAGATAGCATCTGAAACCAAGGGTAATATCCACTAAAGGAATACCAATCAGTGTCCAAGGTGCATCTCTTAACTAAGCAAACATGTAAATGGTTTTTGATTTAGCACCAGATAACTATGAACCAGGACGACAACCTAGTACTTCACACGTCAACAACGTTGTACGAAACAACCAAACATAGTACAACCTAGCACTTCACATGTCAAAATTCGCAGAGATTAAGGAAATGAGAGAAGCGCCTTATCGAAAGTGAAAACTCTGTCAATGTGCTTGCCGGCGATGTTCTGAGACACGGCTACCTCTCTGTTGTACTCGTTGCAAGTGATAACCTGCGGCGCATTGCTCCGCAACTCGTCTTCACTAAAGGGCCTGAAAAAATAATTAAAATTAAAAATTAAAAAAAATTCGAAAAAGGGAACGGAATTGGAATTGATAGATAGTTAGGTATTTGAATAGAGGAATACCTGCAACGAAGGAGAACCTGAACGTTGACGCCCTTCTCCTTCTCGTGGCGACCAGACATTTTTCGATTGAAGAGTGCCAGAATCAGAATCAGAATCAGAAAGCAAAGAAGAGAAGAACGTGCTTTCTCTCTCTCTCTCTCTTTCGCGGGAGCGTTTTGAGATTTGAATTTTTGGAGACACGCTATTGTCTGTCTTGTCTTGCGTTTGCTAAATTTCATTTCTGGTTTTATTTTATTTTTAAGGTTTTAATGTTTTTGTTGTGAATTTCTAAACTCACGTGATTTTAAGTTGAAAAATTAAAAAATTATAATAAAAAAATTATTATAATCTTAAAGTAAATTACAATTATAAAAATAAATTGATTTCTGCCTCAAAACGACTTCATTTCATTTTGAGCTCAATATAAATATCATATCATCATTGACTACAGAAAAAATAAATCATATCTTTAATAGGAAAAAGTATTGATCATCTTAAATTACAACTTTATGTCATTTATAATAAAACTAAGTCGTTTTGGTATGTTCTTAGTATTTTTTACAATTTTTTATTTTTTTTAAATTAGGAAGAAAAAGAAAGTGCATGAAAAAAATGCAATAAACAACGTAGTTGTATTAAGAGTAAACACCCTTTTTAGTCCCTGGCAATATCTACGAAGTCTTTTTCAGTCCCTGGCAATAAAAAATGACCAAATTGGTCCCTGAAAGTACAAGAAAAGGTCACTCTACATATTTGGGAGTTGACATAAGGACTAACATGGCCCTTTTTTTGTAATTTCAGGCACCAATTTGGTCCTTTTTTATTACCAGGGACTGAAAAGAACTTCGTAGATATTGATAGGGACTAAAAAGGATGTTTACTCTTGTATTAAAAAATATGACACAAAGTTATGTCATTTAAAATGACAAATATTTTTTCTTTTTCCTTTTTAAATTTACTAAACATAAAATATTAATTTTTATATTACATACTATATTCTGTTATGTTTTAACACATTTATCAAAAACTATTAAGTAAAATCCAAGTTGTCAGCAATGCTTCAAATATAAATTGGGTTCGTTTTTTCTGTAATTAATGCAAATAAGTTATCTGCATTGAGCCCAAAACGAAGTTATTTTGAGGCGAAAATCAAGGTATTTTTGTAATTTTAATTTCTTTTAGGGTTATAAAAGTCTTTATAATTATAATTTTTTAATATTTCAACACCAAACGACATCATTTTGAAAGTAAATGCGGAAATATTTTTTTGATATAAATAAATATGTGTGTTATATATATACACACGCATGTCCATATTACTTTAATAAGTATTTTAGTGAATATTTATCTTAATTTTATAAAATTGATTTTGGTTAATAATAAATTTGAGGTGAAGTTACTTTGACAAAAACAATATTGTTTGAGTGTTTAATAAATATAATTATTGGCAAAGATATGAAAATAATCTAAAGGTAATATATAATATTAAAGGGAAATCAAATTGTTTTCTCCAACCGTAGAAGATAACTATCTCATATCATAGAGAAATAAAAAAACGTGGCTGCAAAAAAAAAATTCCTTTAACTTGTGGGCTTCACATTTCTTATTAGTGTAGGGAAAAAAATTTCTCTTATGTTAAATGAGAGAAGTATTATCCAATATTAAATAATTAAAATATTTTTGTTGATGTACGCACAACTAACTTTTTTAAAACATAAAAATAAAAGTTTAGCGTTTGTCATTTTAAATGACATAAGTTATGTCATTTTAGGAGAGAGATAGACACAAGGAATGAAAATCATGGGGGAGAGAGTGGGTGGTTTTTTCTAATTTAAATTTTAAATAAAAAATAATATTTTGTGTCTATCTCTCTCTTAAAATGACATAACTTTATGTCATTTAAAATAACAAACATTTTTCCCTAAAAATAAAAATGTTGATTTTGTTAACATTATACCATTGTTGTGAAAACCGGACCGAACCGGCCAAATCGACCCAGAACTCGGTGAACCGGTCATCTGACCGGTTCGATTATTACATTGGATCGGTCAAGTATCAGACCCGGTACGACCCGGCTGATTTTGGCCAAAAATCGGTGACCTGGTCGGTTAACTGGTGACCCGGCCCGGGTTTTTAAAAATAATATTTTTTTTTAAAGTTTTCCAAAAAAAAATCATAATTGACATATTTGAGTGATCTATTACTTATTGACTTACATAAGTTATGTACCTACAATCTTAATATTATCTCAATTATGCACTATGCAGGGAATTTTGATTTGATAGTTAGAGATGTCGCTTACCGAACCTGAAACACCAATATAACAAAGCATTATGTGTTTGTTTGATCCTTTATTGGACAATAATGTATAATATATTATTTTTTATATTAAAATATTTAGAATTTATATTATTTTTTTCAGCTATCTAAGTATATTTATAATTTTTTAATATAAATTATAGATTTATACATAATCATCGGGTCATGCGATTCAACCAGTAACTCACTGGTTGAACCAGTGACTCAGTACCTCGACCGGATCATTGACCAGGACGGTTTTAATAACATTGCATTATACATAATTCGAGATATAATCATTAAAAATCCGGATAGATTTTTTTTCCACCAGAATTTTTTTAAAAAATAAAAAATATTTTTCACTCTAAATAAATGTTTAAATATCAGCTTTAAGAAAATAGAAAATTTTAAAAAAAATAGAAAAAAAATCAAAATCTTATTTTTTATTGTTTCCGTCACCATCATGAAGTTTTCCTTCCCTTATTATTATTATCCCTCAAATATCTTACTCTCATTATTTGCTTTCACATGTCCTTCTTAATAATTATATATATATAAAGTATTTCTAAATTTTGATATCTAAATTTTTAGTTAAAAATGTATTTTAAGTACTACATTTAAAATGTATAAAAAAAAAATACTACATTTAAATACAAAATAACTTTAACTTTGAAAATAAAAGCTCTTCTGACAAAAAGCAATACATAAAAAAAAATCAAACTTTCATCCAAATGGACCTAGATTAAGTTTTAAAAGTGCAAACACATGCTAAGCAATGTCAACATATGACTCATTAAAAAATAGGATGATTATTCAATTATTCTATACACTTCATTATTTATGAAATAGGAGATTATTATGCCATTGTAAATGATACATGTATTTTTCTAGCATATTAGTATATATAAAGACATTTAAACAAGTAACATGAGAGTAGCCCAATATAAGAACACATTATGGAATAACACAAGTTTACTCAAACCTCGTGTATTTTTCATTTAGGTTTTGTTTGGGAGTTTTAGGGGAAGGGAAGGAAAGGGATCCAAGGGAGAGGGAGGGGAAGGAAGGGAAAGAAATTGAATGGTATTCCCTTTCTTTGTTTGGGAGTTAAAATAAAGGTAAAGGAGAAAAATAGAGAGTTAATGAGATATTTTTACCATTTTATTCTTTTTTAAAATTAATATAATTATTATATTTTAAAAAATTAAATTAAATTTAAAATTTTTAACAAAATTATTTATGTACTTTTCACAATACTAAAAAAGATCATATTTTCGACGAAATTTTTCGTTACAAACGATGAAAATTTCGTCACAAAATTATTTTTTCGTCAAAAAGTGACAGAATTTTTTCTCCGATGAAAATTTTTACAAAAATAAATTTTCGATGAAATTTAGTTTTCGTCAAAAGTTTTGACGAAAATGATTTCCTCCATCAAATGTTTTAAACGAAAAAAAAATTCCGTCAAAAATGTTTTTCGTTCAAAATTTTCGATGGAAATTGTTTTGTCAAAATTTTTGAAGGAAATGTTTCATTCAAAACTTTCGACGAAATTTAGATTCTGTAAAGAATTTTGACAGAATATTTTTTCCGTCAAAATTTTTATCGAAATATTTTTCGTCACAATTTTTGACGGAAATATTTTCTGTCGAAATTTTTTGACAGAAATGTGTTCCATTGAAAATTTTGATGGAAATGTTTTTTATCGAAAAACTTGACGAAAATATTTTCGGTTAAAAATTTTCAATGGAAATGTGTTTCATTAAAAATTTCGACGAAATTTTTTTTTGTCAAAAAGTTTAATGAAAATGTTTCCATCGAAAAATTTCGACGGAATTTTAATTCTGTAAAGAATTTTGATGTTTTCTAATAGAGTTCAATGAACAGAAAGAAAGGAGAGAGAGGGTGTGAGAGAGAGAGAGATGAATCCACAACTCTGATCTGAATGTATGTTATTGAAGAATGAATGAAAGATTAGTTACAAGAGTGAGAGCTAAACAATCTATTTAAAGAGCTTAAGGCTGAGTCAGCAACAGCTCTGCACAAACACAAACCTCTAACTAACTACAACAGAATATATGAGAAATAATCCTATACAGTGAGGTGTATATCGAAAGCTATTCTACTTTATACTCTAATACACCCCCTCAAACTCAGGATCTTTGAGGATACAGAGCAGAATCAAATATGCAGAGTTTGCTCCGTAATTCTTCAAATTCGATGCCTGGAAGAGCTTTAGCTAGAGTGTCAGCCACCTTATCAGATGCAGGAATATGAGCAACCACCAACTCTTTAGCCAGAACTCTCTCTCTCGCACAAAGAAAATATCAAGCTCTATGTGTTTAGTGCGAGCATGAAGAAGAGGATTATGGGAGAGAGCCACGATGCTCAAATTATCACAATAAACAGCTGGTGTAGATATAGGCACCCGTAGTTCACATAAAAGGGATTGCAGCCATAAAATTTCTGCACAAGTCAAAGCTAAGCTCCGGTATTCAGCTTCAGTACTAGATCTAGCAACCAAGGTTTGTTTCTTAGACCACCAAGAGACAAGATTTGACCCCAAAAACAAACACGCATCTGATGTAGAACACCTATCGTCAGGATCACTAGCCCAATCAGCATCACAATAGGCTGTGAGAGAAAAAGGACTGGAAGAAGGTGCAGATTGCAGTCTCAAACCGAAAGAAATGGTGCCTTTGAGATAATGCAGAATACGTTTTACAATTTTCCAATGATCTAGTAGAGGCTGAGCCATAAATTGACACACTTTGTTAACAAC